GGCAAGCAAGGGAGCAACAGGTGCCTTGCACACCAACTCACTGGAAGTACTGGTCTGCCCTGATGGGCGATGAGGGGTTGGTCACTTTCACTGGCTGAAAGACAGAGGAGAGGCTGTCAGAGATTCAGAAGCTCCACCAAAATGCACTGCAGGAGAACTGGGTGAAATCCAGCCCTGCTCTAAACCTAGTCTGGAGCACAGGGATACCAGGGGCCACAGTGAGGAGGGTCAGAGGTTGCTCACCTGCAAAGCTGTGTGGGCTCCTGGGTCCAAAATTCTCCAGAGCAGATCCAGCTGCTGCTGCTGGAATTCCTCCTCACAGTTCACCACATGTATGATGCTGCAGCAGCTACTCTGGCTCTCAGCCTGCAACAGAGCACAGCAGGGAGCTCAAATGATATTGCCTGGCAGAAGGGAACAACACCTGGGAAGCGAGAGGCAGGCAATGCCACAGGGTCACTCACCAGGCACTGCTGAACAGCTTGCTGCAGCTCAGCCAGGGACCTCAGCATCCCCTCTGTCACTGAAAGATGGAGGGACACAGATTGGGACACAAGGGTTTGCCATCCCCTGCCATCCCACACCATCGGGTCTGCCCCAGGCTCAAACCAGACTGAAGGAGAATAAATGGGAAAAGAAAGGAAACAGGCCTTTAACCCATTCACCCCCCACTGCCACACCTGAGCTGCTCTACATGTGAGGCTCACCGAGAAGCACATCCAGGTTGGGGTCATAGCCCACCAAGCCCTGCTGCTCCACGAAGCTCTTCAGGTGCACTTTACCGATGACACCCTCGGGCAGCGTGGCCGTGCCCGGCCCCTGCTCACAGGCTGTGTTACAGGGAGCCCGGCCCAGCGCTGCCTTCAAGGCCGAAACAGCCTCAGGGAAGGACGAACCACCGGAGCCGGAGGGCCAGTCGATGCGAAGCTGTCGCAGGACCTCCGAGCTGCCCTCCCGGGTGAGGGCAGGGACCAGGCGCACGCCGACCCTGCAGGAGAGGGCGAGGGAGGCGCTGGCAGCAGCGGGCGAGGGGCGCGGGCAGGGGGGGACGCGGACACTCACTCACCCCTGGGCGCGCAGCAGCTGTGCCAGGTGGTCGGCGAGCAGGACCGGGCGGAGGTGGCGCGGCTGCAGAGCGCCGGGGCCGCGCAGGGCCGAACAATGCAGCACCACGGGGCCCTCCTGCGCCCCCGCCGCGGGGAGGGCTGGGCCGGGCAGGGAGCCCAGCAGGCGCTGGAAGGCCTCAGGGCGCCGCACCTGTACCGCCAGCCCCGCCGGCGTGTCCCGGCAGCCCCACAGCGGCAGCACCGCAGGACCCCGCAGAGACGGCACCGCTGACACGGCCTCGGGGGGCACCTGCGGGCGGGGCGGGGTCGGCGCGGGCGGGGCGTGTGGGGGTGACCCCGCCCCGGCTCCCAAACCCCGCCCCTTAATCGCAGGCCATGCCCCCAAATCCCCCCCACACCGCTCGCAGGTCCCACCCCCTCCCAGCCGCCCCGCCGGGCCTACCTGTCCACCGGGAAAGGCGGCGCCCAGCGCGGCCCGCGGCGCCAGGAAGTCCCGGTGCCGCAGGTTGCGGGCGCCGCTCTCCTTCACCCAGAGCGCGCCGGGCCGCCCCAGCGCCTCGTTCAGCGCCCGCAGCGTTGCCGCTACCCCCGGCCGGCCCTCGCCCGCTTCCATAGGGGCCCGGCCGGCACTCCCGCCGCGGCGGACTGGAAGTGACATCACCACCCCTCGCCCTCTCAGTTCCCTCTGGCGGCCGACATGTTGGGCGCGGCGTTCCCGGGCGGCCATGTTGGTCAAGGGCAGGATGGACGGGCGGGGCGGCCATGTTGGGGGAGCGGGTGTGCGGCCGCCATGACCGGTGTGGCGATCGGCGGCGGCGACCGCCATGATGGGAGTGGCGGGCCGGGGCCACGCCGGACAGGGCCGGAGGGAGCGCTGCACCCGGGTACTGCGGCGCCCCGCATGGCGCGGGGGTCTCTGCCCCACACAGCCTCACCCCAGCACGGCCATGGTGCCACCCTGAGGTGCTGAGGAGGGAGTGGTGCCCCCTCCTCTCCAGGCTGGAGCAGCCCCTGGTCCCCAACACTGGGGCGTGGGAACTGAAACTCCCAGGAACCGAGCGGGAGCAGGAGCCAGAGGCCATGCGGAGATCGGACAGGCTCAGGCTGTCCCTTGGCTGTCCCCGGGCTGCTGAGGACAGTGAGGAGCCCTGGGAGAGGGTCTGGCAGCCTGGACAGTGACAGGCAAGGCAGGGGTTTGGATGGGCTGGAGGATGTTTGGCAGACTCCATCCGTGGGCACCGTGTCCCTGGCAGACCATGGCTCAGCACCAGCA